TAGGTCAACGGTCATTTTTAAAACACTATACTTTACCTCATTAAACACTAATTTGTAAACTCATTATTTCCTTATTGCTTGACTTGACTTAACTTACATTTGTCGTGATGTATACACTCAGTAAGTACGTCACTGATAATCAAATGTCCCCTGTAATTACCTGACCTTCCCACAGTTATTCCACTATAAAGCCTTATATTGCTTAGTTTAGCAAAGCAAAAAGATTGAACTATTAAGGGGAGCCACAGAACTGTTGAGAATCAAGCATTCTTTTCCAGAGAGAGATTTTTTCTAATTCACAGTAAACATCATGTTCCCAGAAATAGTGCACAGTGCCCTTTTGTACTATGTAGTTATTACTCATTTTAGTTTAGTACAAGGAAAATCATATTTCTAGCTATTTTCAACTGAAGAAGTGCTCTGCTTGAAAAAAATACTCAATTTGTGACAATTTGCGGATGTGAACACAATTTTGTTTTGGTCCAGGAAGAAAGGAGATGTACCTCTTAATTGTCAGAATTGAATTTCCATAACAAGGAAAATTATTGTAATTTTGCAAATGCTAGATCTGGAAGGCACGACGGATATATTATCACGACTCCTTCATCGAAATCAGGACAGTACTTTTCTGAGCTATAGTGCATGTGACTCATGCTCAGACAGAAACAGCTCCACAGCTCAATCACCATGGGACACAGTTAGATGTGTCTTTACTCCAGATTTACAGGGAATTTAAGTCTCTGCAGTGTACTTTGTGCCAAACCCAAAAAAACAACCCCCTTTTTTGAGTCATTTTATGGCACAAGAAGAAGTGCTAAATCAACAAGGGTGATAAATGTATGTATGATAATAGAATATTAAACAAATATTCACACACAGACTCTGTATCTACAGTTATTTTCCAGCTGATAGTAATGTTTGGGAAATGCACCAGCAGGCAGTCAGGACGAGAGGTCAACTAGAAGAAACTGCAGGAATGTGCATGGAAATACTGCTTTGTTGAATTTCTTTCATTTAAAAGTTTGAGCATGCAGAGGCGCACATATTGCATATCAAGCTGTGTTAGTGGGCCTTTTGATGAAAGTGGGTTTGCATGTATATTTAATGCCATGGTTTGCCGAGCGCTGACTGAATGTGGATGGTAATAAGGACTGGCATGTTGAAAACAGGCTGTGCCACTTCTCCCCAGGTGCACACACAAGTTGTCGCCGTTTCTCGACTTCAGCCCCTGCATCTATCTTTGCAAACCGACAACATCACTTCCACGACTCTGTGCTTTCTACATATGCATGTGCATTAGTGAGGATGTGTGTACATTATTCACTAACATGCTCCCCTTCAAGGACAAATCTATGGCGGCTCTGTGAGAGCAATAGACAAATAGACAAAAAGAAATTACCACCAATTGACAAAACAGTAAAAAAAACATGGTTTTATGTGGATTACGTTCCCCATCACTTACACTGGAGGTATCTCTTAATGGCCAGTATAAACAGAATGAATGATTATGGTAAACAACTGTGACATATGTTTATATGGTCACCTGACTATTTTAAGACAGATGTAAAAATGAATGTGAATCCTTTCAGTTGACCAGTTGTCAGCTGTGCTCTAAAACGACTATTTAAGTGTGTTGGTTTCTGAAAAAGACAATATCATGTTAATAACTGTGTTTGTGTACAACATATACTCTATCATATCTGTTATGACTACACTGAGTGTGTTTGTCAGTTTTTCGTACTCTGCAAATGTACGAAAAACTTTAGATTCATACATTTGTTGATTTTTTTCCTGTGCAATTTGCAGCATTTCTGTATTTCTTTCTGTTTGCTGTGTTTGTTTGTGCTGTTGGAATTTGCAGCGTATTATTGTTTGTTGCACATTAATTTATTCAAGATGTGAAGATTTTCTTCATTTGCTTGTTGTATATTTACCAGTGTTTTCCTCATTTACGGTGTATTGAACTCTCCGTTCACATCAGTAAGTTTTGAGTCAATAATTTGTTTTAAAACCGACGACAGATTCCAGTCCTTTCACACTCATTGTCAATGTGTGAATAATAAATTGTGCCTTCAAAATAAAATAAAAGAGGCACTTGCACTAAGAAGTTTACATCAGTAATCATCAATTTACTGTTTTATATGACAAACATTGGAAATATTTACATTTAGAAAATTATCTATTGTTTTCAGATTTATTCCAACGTTTTCCCACAATTGTACAGATGAATCTCATAATAAACCTACAAACCTGAGACACTAAAAGAACATAATTACAGCAGGGACAGGTTCAGAGAACTTGCTACATGGTAGCAAATATGAACAAAGTACAAAAACATACTGAACCCATTACATCTTTCAAGTCAACAAAAATCTGACTGTACTGTTGTTACCACAAAATATACTAAATATACTACCTTGTCAAATCTTCAAAATGTCCGCCAACGATGGTGGATCCTGTAGGCTAAATAAAATGTTTAACATTTGTGATGTGATGTCGACTGCTCAGAGGACATCGCAGTGCTAAAAAAAAAAAACATGCTCAACCATGCGCCAGTCACACACGCAGACGCGCATACACATGTGCACACATACAAAAAAAATGAACCTCATCCAGTTCGGTGTGCTTTTTGGTCAGGTGTTCCTTTCAGCAGTCGATCATAATAAGCTGCTAAACAGAACGTTTGTGATGAACCATTTCTGTCCAGTGCACTTCTGCAGAGCCAGTTGGTAGCCGAACTCATTGTCTGTGCTCGCTACGAGCTCTAGGCATCTCTTTGATTTCCTGTTCTGAATGGATCCTCCCTGAAAAGACAAAAAAAAAAAATGGTTCAAATGGTGCTGAGCTCCAGAAGAACAATTAGAATAACTATAACTATGTAAGTTGCCTTCTCTTAAACCCACTCTGCTGTGAATGGATACGGATGTGAGCTGCCGGAGTGGCCTGAGCTCTGGGCGTTTTTTGGCTGATTCATAAAACCATCCTCATCCCACCAAATAACATCAACATGGTTTCAAGGCAAACACAACAATGCGATTGCCAGTGTAGTCATTAGCCCTCTCCTGAGCAATGCCAAGACTGTGAGAGCATGCACACGATGAATAGACTGAATCAAAAGAGATGAAAAAAAGGACACAATACAGAGCGATCGAAAATAACAAAAACATCTGGTACTGAAGTGGTATTTGAAAAGTTGCACATTTTTTGTTCTTCAGGCTCTGAGCTCCAGCACATTCAGTCTGACATAAAATAACAGACCGCATTAAAGTGCCAAGTCCCAGCTTTAATTCGAGTTGCTTTTTCCATCAGTACAGAAAGAACTGTGTGGGCAATACAGCTCCTTTAACACCTGTGGTCCACAAATGCAGGGGCTCAAAATAATTGGACAGATGCATAAAGTCAGAGAAATTCATCATACTTAATATTTTGAGGAAAATAATTTGTAGTCAATGACCCACAGGCTTCAGTGGACACTTGGTACATTCCCCGGTGATGCTCTCTCAGAGCTTCGCTGCAGCCTTCTTCAGCTCCTGCCTGTTGCAGGGTCGCTCTGCGTTTCATCTGGTCGCCAGCAAGTGAAGCTCTCCTCAGGCAGACTGAGATCATGATTGACTGGATCAGTTGAGAATATTTCATCTCCTGATTTAAAACTCGGGTTGGTAATCCTGGAAAACCTAGTGAGAGCAGGCTACACTTTGAAAAAATGCAACCGATACATCCCACCCCCTCCAGTCGGCCTTCCTGTCAAAGCTCCGGCCACATAAACCCACATTGCTTGAAAACCGCTAGAAGACGACTCTCTGTAACTCGCTCACTAACGTCTCTCCTGAGGCTTTGTATGTCTATGTGCGGTGAAAGCACAGGCAGGGTGCACACAGGCAGGCAAGTCGGTTGGTGGCTGAAAGGTACGAGTTCATTACAGTCCTGCGACTTTCATACTCCTTTATTTATACTGTAGATGGCTATCGGGATGTGAAAAGGATTCCAACAAATAAGATAAAAAGGGATTCAGAAACAAATTACCAACCCTACCTCCAAGATTCATATCCTGCTGAATGATGACCTGCAATATACTTGCTCACTTCATGTGAATCTGTTCCATTACTTTTTAACCCTAAACTTTAGGGACTATGCATTCAAAGTACGTTAATATAGTTCCTATTGTTTTATTTAAAGTGAATATGCCGGGGCACACAGCTCGAAGAACTGAAAACGTGTAACTGTCCAAGTCCTTGGTTTGATATATATGGAGCCTGAAGGAAGAGGAAAAACTTTTAGATAAAAGAAAGTAAGTTCCAACAATTTACAAACTTTAATAAGACAGCTGTTGCCAGTCTGAGCTGGGGGAGCACATCAGCGCGGTAAAAAATATTCCAGCATGTTCTGATGAAATGACTCAGGAATTTTTCTATTACAGTGTCAGGGTTGAAAAAGGACGAGTGACTGAAGAGGAAGCCATCAACATTCAATACAGTGTAGAGAGAGCTTTGAGGAGGAGGCTCCTGCCAATAAGAGGAATGAAGAGGGACTGGGGAGAAAAAGACCTAAAGATGGGACTGGTTGTACAGACTGTGAGCTAAATTATTCTTTTGTCACTGAAATCCAAGAGACATTTTCTTTATACATAGCAGATTGGTGTTAACTGCTGTAAGTAGGCATTTATGGGCCAATATGTCACGACGCCCTGAGCCAGCTCATAAGTGCAATCAAGACATTAAATTAAAGTGTATCACTTGTATGAAGCCAGATCCATTTAGATACTCCGTGTATTGAATCTCTATTCTGGGTACAACAGCTTCCAGCCGAGCTGTGAATGAGCCAACTGCAAGGATGATAAAATCTCCATGACAACAGAGCAACTCCATTAATGACGAAAACCCAAAGATGTGGTGGAAAGCTTCAGACACAATAAGATAGTCTTTTCTTACACGACTGTTTGCAAAGTAAAAAAACTCAACATTCAAGTGGGAAATTAGAACACAAAGAACTCTGCATATTAAAGTGTTTTTTATTGCCAATAAGGCAGATGTGTAGCCAGTGATAGGTCAGGGCAGCACCAGCAAATATATGTCTACTTAACTGTTCCACCTCCAGGTAAGAACTCTTCTTTTGGAGCTTGTGGGACTGTTTGCCAGATGAGATTTATAAGTTATTCGGGTAAAGTTTATTAATTAGATTGAACTGAATCATTTTTGTTAATCATTCTGATATAATTGTTGATCTGTGTGTCCACCTGCAGTCAGTATTATTCATCCTGCCTACGAAGCTCTGATTGGCTCATTGTTTCTAAAACAGGAGGAAACTCATTACTAAGCCTGACACCAGATCTGTTTGAATCACTGGATGAATCAATGTGGGCTGTTATTCACATAAATAAAACCCAGAATCCATGAAATGTAAAACGCAGATAGAAAGAGCTACTCAAATTGTGCACATATAACAGGTAGGTGCTGCTTCTTAAACAGCCTCCAGGAGCTGCATAATGAATGTACTGTATACATTACGTATAGACGATATTTCAGTTAGGATGCTATGGGGTTTACATTATATTCACTATGCTATATACAGAACAACAGATATTTGTTCCAGAAAAAATAAAGAAGGCATCACCCACACATATTCATGAGCAAACCAAACCGTACAGTCCCATCCACTGAACATGTGTTTGCTTTTCCTAATGAGACTAACTCATCACTAATAAACATGTAACCATGCACACATTTAATTCCCCATTTCAAATTCACAAACCGAGGCTGATCAAAACCACTTTGAGGTCTTTACAGTAGAGGGAGATTAAGAATATCTTCTGTGCAGAATGGAACAAAATTTGAATGAAAAATAAATAAAATAAACTTCATCCCTCTCTAATTTGTACACTTCTCCATTCAGTAACTGATGCCTTATTTCAGAGACATGATTTGTTCTAGGCTTGCTTGATTCCCACTTACTAAATTATACAAACTTAATAAATGAGGAGATGTGTTAAAGCACATAAAACATTTTCATACCTACTGCCAATTATGCTACAAAACCATATAAACACACCTATAGCAGACATCCATAAGAGACATGGTCAAAAGAATATTAGATTCATTATAACAAGCGTCTAATGTGAAGCACATTTGGGATTTTGTACACATTTGGCTGAAAGAGGAACATAAATCTATAATTAAAACTGCACTGACAGCTTAGCAGACCACAATATGGGGTCTTTTGAGCCCAAATCAAAGCATGCTGTTAATCTAATTCACCCGCTGTCATGGGGCATTCTGCAACGTGGCTGCTCGCTCTGTTTAAACACAGAGACCAAGTTTCATATGGCTCCTCATGTGTAAATGAGCTGCAGGCCGGAGGTGAACCCCAGTCAGACAGTAGATTAAACCACTTGCATGGTTAAGCTACCTACATCTACAGCTGGTTCTCTGCCACATTTGACAGATTACAGTAACCGAGGCTGCATAATGACAGTAATCTGACGTGTGTGGGGCCGTGCCGTGCGTGGTCACCTGAGTGAAGAGCCAGTGGAGCTTCATGCGTTTGGCCGCAGCGTAGCTGCACTCGATGAGGCGAGGTCTGCTGTTCACATCCACCAGGCACTTGTTGTCGTCATCGTCAACAGTGGGACTGAGGAGCCCGACTTGCAGCTGCTGGGTACTGGTGTAGTACACATTCTGCAACAAACACCACATCCTGCCATTAACTGTGTGCTGCGATACACTGAATGCTCAGAAGGCTGAGGTGACATTTAGATAATGGCCTCTCCTCAGCTCTATGTGTCCATACAGGTGATAAATTATGCAGTAAATGAGGCTCTTCGGTTGTCTTGACCATAGAAGAGACGTCTATGAGGTTGATTTACATACACTAAAAATGCATATTTCTACAGGTATCCTGACTGAAAGGAGGACAGGGTAAGACAAGGAGAGGCACACAAAAGCAGCTCATGATTAATTCAGGGTTTGGGGAGAAACCCCACTAACAGTGCCCTCTACGATGGAATCCTTCCTTTACTGTAGGACAGTTTGCTCATATGAAGCTGAAAAAAACATGAAAACATGAAAACCATTTGCAGGAGGAGCATGTTGTGTATTAAAAAGAAGAAAAAAAAAGAGGAAAGCATGAGAGAGAGTGAAGAGAGAGAGAATGTGTTTATAGTATTTGCAGCACGGTGCCCAGAGTTTAATGGTGTAACACTGGCTTTAATTTGATGTAGTGTGCACGGAATGATAAACAAGTTGTGCTCTGCATGATTATATGATATTATTAATTGGTGTAAAAGACGTAATTGTGTTCCACGACATTTTAAGAGGTAATATTGTACCTTTCCCTCCAGTTTTGCACAAGCTTTTAAAAAGCAATGCATCTTTAAAGGTCAAACAGTGTCTCCAGGCCCATTTGGCTTGTGTCCCCTTTAAGAAAACATTGTCTTGACAGGGGCACCTTCACATGTCTGTGATCTGTTCACCAAAGAGACGTTTAAAAAGAGGCCAATTATCCAGCATTTCACAAAAAGACAGATAAGTTGAAAACAAAGGATATGAATGTGTCTAGCAGAAAGTAGAAAAATCTATTAATGTCACTTATGCTGTGAGTGCTTTTACGTTTTACACTTGAAGCACATTATAATACTCTGCTTTCACAAAACTGAAACCTAAAGTGGTTTTACAATGTTTTTCTGGAACATTTACTTAAACAAAAAGTAGTTTGATCGCCACTGGCTGGTTCAACAAACAAATGAACGGAAACAAAATTCAAGAGTGGGCAGATTAATTAGTTTGTAGAATCCAAACGATAAAGAGGCACAAGATGGGGACGGGGGAGTCAGATTCATATCGAGCGGGCGATTAAGCAGAATCTCTGTCAGTGGAAGACATTACATTTTATAAGTAGGATCAGGATTTTCCAACTGGAAACTTCTGACTCAGGACCCCCAAAACGTTATCTATTATTAAATACAACAAACCAGTGCCGCATTTGCTTATCTGTCTTTTCCTCTTATCCTTTCACTCGATTCTTATTTGTCTGATAACGCTCCAGCAGCCTCCTTCCTCCTTCACAGACCTTTCAACAGTCTTGACGAGTGATTTTTGTGTTTATGCAACGCAGGCTGTCGGGCTGCATGTGTCTGAGGTTTTTTATTGTCGCTGTGCTAAAGTCGGTACGTTTTATTTCTGTTCGAGCCGAAGTGCTGCGCTGTCGCTTTGCTGACAACATGATCTTGTAAAGTCAGCCACGTGTTTGATTGTAAGCTTTGTAATTCTCTTCCCTGCACGCGTGCCTGTGCAGTTTTCTTTCAGCGGGTTGATGTTCTGCATTTACCGCAGCACCTTTGATACAAAAACCCAGCTCTCCCAATGCACTTGCACTGAAAAGCAACTGGCACCTGACAATATCATGTTTTGACTGACCACAGCAAATATTTGCACCACTATGTGTATCTGAACCATTACAGAGGCAATCAAGGGGCTAATTCCTCGTGGTGATGTAACACTGAAACATAAAAATAGAGCAGACGAGATTTGTCTTGCAAAAGAGATCCCTAATCTCATTAGGAATGCTGGTGCTCCTCCAATCCTTTGTTTGATATGCCTGGATGTATGAGAGATTTATAGCACATAACGTATTTATAATGAACAACTTTTCAAGTTATCTAGGTCTCAGAAAAGGACAGCAGAAGTTGATTAATGGGTGTTTTCAAGAAACTGAGATTCCACAAGATTAATACAAATTTCTTACTAAAGATTTCCCCCTGAAAGAGTTTTAATTTGCACTGCGGCGTAAATGTCAATTACGACGCCTGAAACGTCCAATAGAGTCACTTGAGCTGAGAGGGATAATGTGAGATCAAGTCTGACTCAATGGGACAAGTTTATAACTGTCACAGCAAGGTTAAATAATCTCTGAAAACAATCTGCTCAGACGTAATGGGATGGAGGGATCGATAGGAGCTGGAGGAGGCTGGAGACAGTAAATGATAATCAGCAGGGCTAACATTTGAAAACACTTAAACTCCCTGTTATTTGAGCTGAGATATTTCCTCTAAAAGACAGAAGAAAACACATGTAATGGGCAAACAGCTGAAATAAATCCGTGAGGGATCAGTTTTTCTGAATCAGACATTAAACTGAAGAAAGCTAGAGAGAAAGGAAAATGTTCTAACCTCTAAAACTATTTAAAAACAGGATTTGTTTTGTCCATGAGTGTTCAGTATTCAGTTAGGACATTCCACCCCTAAATGAAGGCATATGAAAAATGGAGAAGAGTTTAATATGTGCTCAAAAATAACAAGGACTGTTTCTGTAAAGGGCAAAAGAGAAAACTCAATCTTGTTTCATAAGGTAAGGCTACTGAATTTGATTGAATTGAAAAAGTCATTTTTTTTCATGATGGAACAGGCTTTATTGAGGAAGAAAAGCCCAAGATGCAAGTAAAATATAGTGGTGATATATTAAAACTGGGAATATGCTGCTGGCTGCATGAAACTGTGGTGCAGGGAGAGAGAGAAAGAGAGAGAGGGGGGAGAGGGCTCAGGAGGGCTCTAACCTGAGGCGTCATCCCGTGACAGAGATACAGGATGGGAACATTGTCATTGTCAGGTCCCTGGTCCAGACACAGATCGTTCTTCAGAGAGTTTTTCAGCTGACACACACACACACACACACACACACACACACACACACACAAAGACAAAGAAACAAAAATATACAATATTTCAGGACGCAAAAGTCAGAAATCCATTGATTAATGTAGAAATAATCAACAGATTAATTCATAATGAAAATAATCAATATTTGAGTGACAGCACTGTATTGTACATGTATCCACGTATAGATCTCAGAGAATTTTCAGATTCTTCACAGATTGTTGTGGGTTCAAGTGGACAGAATTATGTGATTTACATCAGAAAAATGAAAAGGATCAAGAGAGACCAAAGTTACAATGCATTTCATTTATAAACTGAAAATATTGGATTTAGTGTTACGATCCTCTTTGTGCAGCAAAGGATCAACTCTTTCATAAATGATAAAGATTCAGATTTTCCTTTTTTACATTTACTGCTGCTTATTTAGTAACAACTATATAATGTCATAAAGAAGGGGTTAGTTCTCAGGAGATTTAAGACGGTCTTTGAAATTACTTTGGGGTTATCCATGAATTGTGAAAGAGATTTTGTATATTGAAAAATTACACTTCACTTTGTATAGAAATTTGTAGGCTGAAAGATATAAATATAAAACTATAAATAACGAAGAAAGCATGGTGCTCAGGAGAGTAGTGCCGCTCATATGAATTTGACAAATAATGGTGAAAGATACACGTACCACCTGCAACCCCTGCCCTCTGCAGTGCATTCATTCTGCTACAGAGGAATGAAATTACTATCCAAGCACCAAGTGCTGCTTACTGTGATGTTTACTGAGAGAATTACAAACCAAAGATGCCAACATCAAACAGTGGTAATCGGCATCTTCACTGGGATATAAATATGAAAGGATATTTACAGAACATTGAGATTATGCTGGACATGAGCAAACTAAAATGTGAATCATGATCTGAATCCTCTTAAATTACATTTTTTTATGAAAATGTAAATCAGATGTGTTCTGCTTGATGAACATGACTCAGACTTCGAGGCCCAGAGGGTTATTCATGTGTGTCACGACAAAGGTTTGCCTGATTGCGAGATACACACTGCACCACGGGGAGTTCCAGGGACGGTGGTGTGTGTGTGTGTGTGTGTGTGTGTGTGTGTGTGTGTGTTTGAGTGGATCAGGTAAAGATGTGAGATCAAAAGAACTGTTAGGGATGTTTTATCTCCCCTTTGGCTTGTGAAGCATCTACATCTGACTGATAATCATTAAATCCACAGGCAGCACATGGTCCCGTGCAACAGCTCAGGTCTTGACATTTCTACCGTGTGGGTGAAGAAAATATGCAACGCTATGAGAGACACCTGTGGAGACACGATTAGCCTGAATCAAACACAGTGAAGCAGCAGTAAGAGCATCTTTAGTTTCTGTAATGTGACTCATTTCTGAATAAAACATAAGAAGTGCATGGAGGGGAATTAAAAGAGATTCAATTCAAATCCCTCCGATTTGATTGGACTGCTCTGACGTTGGCATAGTTTGGTGAATATGGAGCTGCAGCTCCACCCACACGGTATCACCAGGAAGACGAGACAACAGAAATGGTTAAAGAAGATATCAAACATATTCTGTCTCAACGTGAACAAGGGAGTTTTGTCAACAAAAGCCAATTTTAGCCATGCTAGTGGCATGGCTTTATGAATGACAATGTCAGAATGTATAGGGCTGTTTATGTGACAATCACAAATCACAAATTGGCTTAATTAATGCCCCAAGAAAATCATACATGAAAATGACATGGAAGAGTAAAAAGAACTTGTCCAAGTCCTGATTTCAGAGATGCAGAAAGTAAAAGTCTCATCATCATTTCCCCACAGCGAGGCGACTGACGACTGCAACAGGAGGAGAGCAAAGGCTCTGTCCCTGATATGGAGGAAAATATATCAACCATAATAGGTGATGTTGCACTGGAATGATTTCAGCTGGTGCTGGATCCGCACAACTACGTCCGCTGTAATATTATACAATACCCAGCAGGCTATAATCTATAATCTGGCACGTAGAACAGGTTGCCACAAGCTGTGTCAAGGCACATCCACCAAGGAGGTGTAATTTATATAGTTATTTATAATTGCTGTAAACCAATGAAATATACAATCCATGAGTGAAAAACTTGATCTTACGAAACAACAGACTAATTAAACGTGACTCCTGCAGGTCAGGAGCTCTCATGAATTCAGTTTATACCTGTAAGTAAAACTGAAAATAAGAATTTTGAGTACAAGCAGGGTATATTTGAGTGAGAGCGCTACAGAATCTGAATGTTAAACCATTAGAGCTGCTCTCAAACTGAAAGACCACACTCTTGAATAAAGACAGAAAAAACCCCATAAATCTTTATCTCAATCTGCATTCTACCACTTGAGCTCGCCACAATATTAAAGTTGGATGGCTCGAAGTATCACAACCTCACAGAGATGCTAACATGGCTGCAGACTCTAAATCATGGCCCGAACACACGCTTCTCCCATGACACCTTTCTGATAGCTAATTATGCAGGAGGAGGGATTTTAATATAAAAACACTGAACATGCTTCTTGTCATGTATTAAGCATATGTCATGCATATCAAGTAAAACGGAATAATTAGGGCTTGGAAAATGTATTTTTCTGTTACATAATGTATTTGTGGGTATTTCTTTTTTCTGTGTAACTGCTCTGTTGTTGAACACGGACGTTGATCTCAAACCACTGGGATTGGCCAACCCATCAAACGCATGTCACAAATAAAGGATAATGAGGTCAACAGTGTCAGTGACATGAAGGTAATGAGGTCGTTCTTTTTCCTGGCTATATCCCTCCACCATTTGTCAGTTTGTAACATGCCATACAGCAGTGCCGTAATACTGCAGTATGTGTGTCACAGTGTATTAGGGTGCGTCACAGTAATGAAAGGTGGGAGGACCGTGGAAATAAAGCTGTTTGAGAACAACCAGGGGGCAAATAGAAACACTGCCAGCATGCCCTGTAGGTTGACAGTTCCTCTAGGTTCTCTGAGTAAAACTATTCTGCTGGAAAGACCTCAGAGTCTATATTTAAAGTCAGCTTGAATTCATGTATATATGTGTCTATATCCATCACAGAAACCCAACATAAACCTACATAAGTTCGATTTTTTAAGGAGGGAAAGAATCAAAGTTACTGCAGCAAACCTCGTCTTTGAACCGTTTGTGTTTCTGACTGCAGCCATCCGGATCCCAGCAGGGATTAGAATGATTTACTCCACCATGGTTTTTTTTTTAAGCCTTTTTTTGGCTTTTGCTGCCACTGAATTGAATTTGGGATGAAGATGGAGGCGGCTTACTACTCCATATGCGATGGTTTCACTGTACATCCTCATCTCAGGGTAGATGTTGACCAAGTACCATCGGAAGGTTTTACACTGCAGCCTCTTCCTCAGTGCCTTCCTCTCAGAGATGTCGCCGATATCAATCCCAGAGTCCTGCATTCATCCAACACACACACACACACACACACACACACACACACACACACAAACAGTTCCAAACAAAGCATAACAATGATCTACCATGGTTTGTGAAGAAGTGACAATGGTCCGTTGAGAAGCATTTCAGAGCCATTTGAATCGTCTATAGGGTTTTGATATTTTTTCCCTCTGAGACTTGGAAACCATTGACAGTATTATCGCAGCTGCTCCTGCACACAGCCACACTCATGTGTCCAACACTGACGGACAAGTACATTTCTGTCACTGCTTGGTTCTGACTGTAATTGCAGTTTTAAAGCACTTGTAGGTTATTTCCACTTAACACTGTTTATGATTTCTACCTGACTATTTCAGAGGCACATGTTCTGTTTTATTCCACAACATTAATCAAATGACTGCAGATAGTGATTGGACTGTGAAGTGCCCTTCAGGAACTGTTCGGGGACCTGTGTTATGTTCTATCTGCATGTTTCCATCAAGCTTTTTAATTCACTATTTTAAATATATCTTATAATTTATATGCAAATGACACTCAGCTCTACTTGTGAAATGTGAGGATCTCAGTGATTTAACCAGACTAAATGACTTCATGTAAAGTAAAGTGATGCTGGATGTGTCGACACTTTAGAAGACTGGATGATAAAACAGATGTTCTCATTAATGGCACTGATAGCAAACCCCGGGACCTTTGACCATGAATATCAAACAACACAAAGATTAGGCCAATCGAAAAACAATTAAACCAACGTGGAAGGCTGTGATGGGTCAGGGAAGAACCCTTCTATCTATGGATATCTATGTCGATCTAGGATTTGTTTCCGTAACATTGTGAGACTGGGCTGTTGCAGCAATAATGAAGAGAATTGCATTAAAAAAAAAGAATTTGATCCAGATCTGGATAACGATCCACAGATATCTGGCCTCTCTACATTATTTGTAATATGGTAATGAAGTGTTGCTGATGGTTGAAATGTTTTAGTAAAGCAGAACTAAATATGAAATCTTTGCAGGTGAACTTGAAACACTTTAACTTCCAATTTTTAACACTGACATTCTCCAGACCATTTATAGCCACTTGTTTTTCACGTTTTATTCATTTTGCACTATTTTGTTTGATTTAGTTTTCATATGAATTTCATATGAGTTATATCTGAAAGATGAGATATAAATAAATCGTAGGCTACTCTTGAGATTAAGATTGTACATAGATAAACATAATAACATCATAAAATGCACACTGCTAGGAATAAATCAGTGGCTCCCAGAATAGTTATTCACTTATATGTTTTCACTAAGTGGGACACAGGAAAATGTATCGAATAAAATAAACCGTTTTGTCGTTTTTTTTTTTCTTTTTCGTGACCTGTTGGAGGGGCCAGACCCTGCACTAAAAACCCTATTGCATCTGAAAGCGGTTAGCTCCACCTCAAACAACTACAACAGTAAAATGCTAACAAATAATATTACATGTGATATCTTAGTTTGAACACTGACACTGTGTTGATTCTTACAATCTCAGGGGTAAATCAACACAAACTAAATTCACTGTGTAGTTAATTCAGGGGGCTGAAGCTGGGGCAACATTTTCATGCTTCTTGAGTAGAGACGCTGTTAAATGCTTCATTATTGACTGAATGAATTGCCTGCAGATGTTCATCTATTCATAACACGGATTTACATATTCAAACAGATTATGCAGGAGTAGGAAAAAAAAGCTTCAGTGAATAAACATTTGACTTAGCCTTTGAGCTATCCTACATTTAATATTAAGCAACATGGTGCCATTATTTATTTGAATTCAGTCAATCCAGATGAAGATCAAATAAAAATGTGAATCCTCTGCAAACCCTGAACAGATGTGAGGAGCATGATAGTATCAGATTCATGTTGACACTGCAGATATCTTTATTCCAACATATCAAATAATACAATAAAGCCTCAAATAAAAGGATTCAAAAGAATATATTTCTGCTGAAAATTTTTTTTTCTTCTATATCAGGACTTATACTGTACTATTAATCATTGTGTTCTAAAAGCACATCTGTAATGTTGTTCTTTGCATTAAATCCTCAAACTGCTAACATTTACATTTAATTGAATCATACTAAGTATTGATTTGTTCTGAGGCATGTCTTTTTTATTTCAGGCTGTTTTGTGAAGTGATGAGAAATCATTACATTCTATTCTCCTGGAGGCGTCAGGTAAATGATTCAACTACACGTGTGATGAGACAAGAACAGGTGATACTGAGGTAGGCGTGTTTTCCTCCTTTTCTGAAGATACAATGCCTCAATGGTTCTATAGCTGACATCTGAGATTTGCTGTGTAAGGTGGCATATGCAGTACACAGTTCAGCCTCACTGTCTGTAAAGCTTAGAAACTGAAAGCTCATGATGGTTTTATGCTTTTTTACATTTTTACAATTCTAAGGGTATTTTTCTTTTCAGGAAGACAATTCTCAGCTTATGGTGTTTTATCTTAAATGCTTGTCATAAAAAACAAAAGAAAACTTTAGTTACTATAATGAGTATATTTTTTATCCAGATACTGTCCCAACACAAATATAGTTTTGAAAAAATACACACAAATATTTGTAGTTCCAAGAAGACAGTGTGAGGTAAAAACATTTAGAATACACTTCCATCAACGTGGTAAAACATAAAACACAATTTCTTTTCTGCATTTCTAAAACCCATCAAGTCAAGGTCAAATACCACAAAGATAATCTAAAAAAATGTAAAAAAGCAGTGAATCTAAAAAAGTTGCTGATTAAAAACCAGGGACCTTCAAAGTGACCAAACAACTAAGGTGTAATTTCTTAAAGCCTGATTTTCACAGTTTGTTGCATTGTTGATTTCTTCAAAATCAGATTCCTTGGTTTTGTTAAGACAAGAATGCATGACATCATGAAACCTTCCTATTGTAAATGACTGAACACAGATTAGCACAATGGACACAATGCATGAAATATGGTGATAAAACATCTAATTCAGACCTACATCGTAAACCTGCTAATTTAAAAGGATCGGTGACTTGAAAGAAAAAACAATAATGTGATATAGATGGTCGCTCACCTCCACAGGAATATTCCAGGCCATGTACACGTGGCTTTTGAACTCATCCATCCAAACCTCCGCAACTCTGAGGGCATTTCGCCGCACGTGAGACGTTAGATCCTCCGTGTAGGGTTTGTGAGCGCGCTCGATGTGGGCGATGCGAGCACAGGGCAGGACCTCGACACTGCCGCCGCACTGCCACACCTGGTTTTAAACATCACAAACACAAAGAAGAGATTTGTCAACAATCTACAACAACAGCCGAGCAATGAGTCCGCTCTACTTATGAGAACTCAGTTACAAACATTCTACTGTGTCTCAAACTACGTTAAAAGTCACAACACAAACACAAAACCTGCGTGATGTGAAACCACAGCTGGAGCAGAGGTTGCACAGATGTTGTTGTGACATGGTGTATAAACCTTGCACCTGATGTTCAAACAGCTACAAGTACGTTTTCAGTGAAGAAATGTCTGAAGTTCACTTTAAAAAAGTCCAAAGTTCCAGTAAAGAACTGTACTTTTTTACAGTGCATGTTGTGCATTTCTGTAATTTTTATTAGAATTTTAGATTTAAAAATCAAACTATAAGCAGCAAATCTCTCTCTCAAACTTTGTGAGAGTGTTTCTGAGGATTCAAGTGAGTTCAGTGTTGACAGAAGTTTTTTGGATGAGTGGTTGTCAAGAAAATCGAAAGTACAGATCTAAAATAATCAATGCTACTATCCAGCTGACAGAGGCTTCTAAAACGGCCGTGCTTGTGTCCTGGGTTGTGTCACAGATATTTAACATCATGGACTGTTGCACTGCAAGATCATAAATTATACAAACAGGAATCCGCTCCTCGTGACCAGTGCTGCACTGATCAGAATGAAAAACAGACCTGAGGCTAGAGGGTTTCTTTAATTTTTCTAAATAGTATTCACTGTTTATTTAATACATGAGACATTCGCAATCAGCAAATAAATACAACACTACAAGAAAGAATCATGGAAAAACATCAGAAACCAAAGATTTAAAATTACCAACGTAGGAGATTGCAGCTCACTCCATTTAAAAGATGTTGAATACCTGAGCCCAGTTCTGCCAAAATCAAGGGAAGGTGATATCTAAGGTGATGTAGTTACTAGATCATGTAGGGAACAGTTATAAAGTTTAAAATGAGAGAAGAGAAGTGAGGTGGTTTGGGAGTTTCATCATTAGAGCTTTATAAATGAATAACATGAGTGAGGACGTCCAGCTAACCAAGTGAAACAGAGGACAGTGGTGAGTGTGAGATTTGTCCTTTGTGATAAAACTAATGCCCTGTGATACACAGGGTTTAACTGCTGAAGTGTTGATGAGGCAGCATGACATTAGAATAGCTCCATAATCAAGGACGGACATGACAGGGGACTGTGCAATAGTTTCACAGTTGAAAGAAGACTTACATCCTGTAATTCTGTACAAGAACATATTTGATTTTTAACAAGGAGTCAAATGTTCTGTGCAGTGATGAACAGCATGTACTGTACTGGTCGATAAGCAGAGGTCAGTCATCACCTTTGCAGCCTAATGTATTCTTCACTGTGAGAAATTAGCCCCCATGGTGGGAAACGTTAATGTCCCACAGTCCAGGGGCAGAAGTCTCGGCCTTGATGACTAAGAACCTGTGGCACTAACTCGTCTCATAATGAAGACCTCTGGGAGGGTTGGGACCCCGGGCAGAGAATCTAGACAAACCCTTTCTAATTGTGATACCGTCACTGAACTAATGGTAATGATGAAAAATGCCCTCATAAATATGAAAAAACTAGAACTCCTGCCTTCGCACTCCTACCTTCAGATTCAGTCGATATAAATTTCTTCCAGACTCAAAGTCAACATGACACTTGACCACTGAAAACTAATCAGTTGATCAAAGTTTGGACTGGCCATAATTACAAAAATTCCCAAACGGAAGATTTGAGATATCATGTTCAAGAGGCCAAGGGCCTCATTCTTCGTTTTCTTAGAAAACTCTACGTCAGATTCATGACTTGTTCTTAAACTTCCAAATTGTTCGCATCTGTGTTCTTATATTGATGAGTGCCATGTCTTTGCAAGTTGAAAATGTGTGCCAGTTTCTCATTAGCATAAGGTTAATGGCCCGCCAATACCCATAAAAGCACATGAGACTGCAGTGCCATGTCCATAGACAGAAATCACAGAAACTGACAAGAACATTTAAGAAGTCAGGAATGAGTCGACAAAAATCTAAATGAATTACCTGGCTACACTACACAACTGCATAAGTGGATTTTAGGAGAAATTTCTTCTTAAGAATGGTTGGTGAATGAGATCCACTGACCTTTGACCATCCACATCTTATCAGTAAATCTGTGAGTTTAAGTGAACATCTGTGCCAAATTTAAAAGGATCCTCTCGAGGCGTTCTTCAGAATACATGTTTGCTGGGCAGAAAAGGGTGTGTGAGGTCACAGTGACCTTTGACCTCCAAAATCTAATCAAGTGATCCATGGATCCAAGTGAATGTAACAAAATTCCCTTAGAGTGTTGCTGATATATCATGTCCACAAGAACATGAGGTCACTGTGTCCCCAGACCTTTGACCACCAAAATAATCAGCTCATCAGTCAACGAAGAACAAACCAATGCAGCTTTATACATTTTTGACATCACTACCTACTGTTCACACATAATAATAGTTCCTTCTGTGGTTATGGTTATTTATGAGCACCCATTTGAATTACTGGATTATTTACATTCTTCCCTGTATTTGTTGACAGCCATAAACAGCCATAACAACTAATATGAATTTTTTAATTATCATTGAAACATCAAAAAGGATATGACAAAGACACAAAAAGAGAGAATTAAAGCTGGGAGTGGAATGAATCAGGAAATGAATTAAGCTGCTGATTAGTATCTGAAGAATTTGAATGGTATCTCAAAGTAATTCAAACGCTCTGCAGAGGGAATGAAGATGTGCTCCTCTCTGTGCATGCTTACATTTGTATGGACTTATCAAAAGAGATGTCACGAGCAGAGCCAGTGGAGGAGGCTCAGAAATCACTCGTGCTGAGATGAACATTTGTCCGGGACAGTTTCTGTGAGACTGACAGCCGCGGCCGGCTCCTTCTCGTTCCTGTTTAATCAACAGCTTACATTAGTTCTGCTGAGAGAAGAAGACTTTCATCCTGCTGGACATAAAGCAGCAGCACCAGAACTGTAGACAAAGGTTTAAATGAGGTCTCAGTGCTCAGCAGGTTACAGGTGACTGGAGTCTGTTCGATTATGGGTAGTGAGGTTTTGGAGTTCTTTATCTTTTGCTAGAGGATAATTAGGAGGATTTCGGGTCCAATTTCGCCCTTTTGACGATCATGGGGTGTTGCAGACTTGAGGTTATTTGGCCAAAAGATCCTGACGTGTGACAGATTTAGTCTTAAAGTCACAGACTAAATCAGAGTTCTTTCGAATTGTAATATGTATTTACAATTCAAATTTGGGGAGACTTATGTAGTACGAAAGGAACAGTGATTCAGAAAACCACAACAGCCAATAAGAGTGAGCCGACCAGAAAGCCACAGCAACATGTTGCATACTTGTGTTTACAACTGAAACACTGCCTACAGCATAAATGAGACCTGTGCCAGGTCAGTAAAATATAACACAAACATGCAAACCTAATGACGCTGGCAGTCCGCCTCCATCTTTGTTTTTATTCTAAATTCCCCTTTGATCACACAACTTTCTGTGAGTTTTCTGAAATCTTGTGTTTTAACGCCAAGCGTGTGGTCCTGCGTCTCCACTGGATCTTCTACTGTGTATTCTCATGATCAGAAGAGTAAAAATGTGTTACGTTTGTTGAAATGACTATCAGAGGGAAAGCTTCCCTGATGTATCCCTCACAGGTTCCCTAAATATGTGATTAACAGAAATCTGAGCATCATACCTTCAACTGGTGATAGCGAAGTGTTCCACAAATACCTCAAAACAAAAGTCCTTATATTGGTGGGCTGCCACGCTGCAGTGTTGGACCATCTGCTGCCCTGAGTCCTCTCTCCCTCTCCTGCCTCAATTCTAGGTATTTTGGATCCCCCTCCTCCAGCCTCCTCCTTTTCACTTAATCTCCCTCTGTGTGTTTGTTTTCTGTGTGAGTGTTTGGTTTTGCCTCCTGCATGTTTGCATATAGTCTGTCCTCTTACCAGGTCTTAATGGTGGAGAGGAGGTCATGTGGCTCAGGTTTAATCTCTTTCCAGCACCTGGATGATGCACAATGTTCTCACAGATCATATTCTTCACTAATGTGTACAGTCTATAATGTTGTCATCCTGGCTGTCCATACTATAAATCTACTTTGTTGCTCTATTTTGTGCACATGACACCTATTGCATCTTTCTCCGTCCTGGAATGGATCCCTCCTCTGTTGCTTTTCCGTTTCTTTCCCATTGAAGGGTTTTTCAACAGATTCAAGGGTCTAAGGACAGAGCATAAAGCTGAACAGATTGTTAAACCCTTGATGCAAATTTGTGATCAGTGATATTGGGCTCTTTAAATACAATTTGACTTGACTTTTGACAGCCCTGTGTGCATAAGGTTTAAACTATCACACTGTGTCAGTATGTGAAGAACAAAAAGCAGAGCTGCCATCCTTTTCTTTTTAAAGTAAATGTATGTTTAATTACCATCTGTCAGAGAACCTTATATCAAACACAGTATCATCTGAGGAATACCGAACATCAGGTGTGACAAAAACTGTGGAAGTGACTCAGGTGGCTCTAAAGTCAGGGGATCACAGAAGTCATTAGTATTCATCCTTCGGACACTATGCATTTCTGAAATTCATCCAACATGAGATATTTCAGTCTGGACTGAGGTGCTTCACTGACTGATGCGAGACTTGAGGCTTCTGTGTTGGAGGCTTCTACCGATACGCTGCTGGGAGGACGTTGTGCATTGTTGAACTGCATTGTGGTTCTGTTGTGTTGCTCTGATCTCGCGGCGCTCAACTTTTCATGCAACAACAGAGGCACCAGCCAATCACATTGTATTTAAACACTCCAGCGCTGGTGCTAGCCGATCAAATCAAGTCGATACGAAGTGAACCTTGCTGGCATGGCCCGTTAGCTTGAAAGATGAGTATGTTGTGTGTCCCAAGCATGAAACTGCTTGTTGACGTTGGATAAAAACTTGTAACTCGGATAAAAATCAATGGTAACACTTTATATTAGGGAACACACAAAGTGAACATATCCAAGCACTTGATTGTACTTCATGTACAACAACTTCCTTACTTACCATCAATAAGCAGTAATTAGGAGGTTATTAAGGGAAAACTGTTAATCAATGGAGTAGTTGCAGAATAAGGTCATTAAGAATAAGGCTTTAATAAGTGCTTCATAATGACTAATAAAGTGCCAATATGACTCTAATATCCATGCTAATAGGCAACTAGTTAATGGTTGATATGTGTTCCCTAAAATAAAGTTTTACCAAATCAACATATTAATTAATAAGGAAATAAAAAAATGATTTCTTAATCGTCCCAACTAAACACACACCACATTCTTTGAAGCTAAAATATCTAAAACATTGGAACAATAGTGGAATCACTCTCCGGTACCACTGATTGCAACCTCAGCCCAGAAATGATTCAGTGTCATCATTTCCCTCTGACAATGAAACACACGCCTCAGAGTGTTTGCCTCTGTGACATCCCCGTAGTTAACCGCTAATTATCTGCTGCCTTTTTCAAATTAATTACAAGAGATGGGTCATTAGTGTCAAGATAGTGGGAGTCGACCATTCATATGGAGGGCTTGGATGTTATTCAAAACACAGTCATATTTTACAGTTATATCTGTGAGAGTGCTCTACCCTCTAAGGATCAAACCCATCATTTAATTTGCACTGTGACTCACTCACTCTGTTTTCCCAAGAAAGCAGAAAGCCTGGCTCAACAGCACTTCAGCAAAGAATCACACTACACTTGACTGCTTTAAGATGGTGCTGGGATCTTGGATGAGCGACTGCCCTCCTCCACCAAAAGTAGAACAATAATTAGGTTTACCAAACGTCTGACACTCGCTCCATGCCGTTTAGCGGCGGCTATCATGGTGGATCAGCATTGTGAACCAAACAAAACACCAGTCCCCATGTGAGTCTACATTGTGTTATTAAAATGCAGGTCCTCATGGCACAGTAATGGAACAATCTGAGTCAGCGCAGCAGAACTATTCCTTTTCCTTGTAAACTCAAAACTCATCTCCTCAAGAAATAACTCACACTCCCTCTTGTATCACGCCCCTCTCAGCCATACCCTCCCGCAAATATGCCCCTGTCTAAATCCGATCTTCCTCGCTCTCGAGCCACTCTTCCTCTAATTTCTTTTTGTCGAGTTTTCCTGGCAGAGGAGCGGTCTCACATTACAGCACTGTTTGCTTGGATCTATTATCAGGGTACCATCAGCCTGATCCTATAAGCTAATTCCACTGCTTTACTTTAGATCAAAGCAAGAGCTAAATAGCTTTAATGTAAATGTAATGTGAGTGGAAGTACTTCGTTCATTTATTCTGTCTAGAGTGGCGTCAGTTACAAGTTGAGCATCTCGTGAATCAAAGTGAAATTTAATGGGAGTACTCACAAGGTTATTTCACAAACTATGACTCATGATGATGATGCAGCTTTGTGATGCAGCAGCAAATCGATTACAGGAAAATTCGAGCTTGTACTTAATGTTAGTTTTGCCAATCTTCTTAATAATTTCGGAAACTTTCGACAACCTGGTTTGTGTACAGTTCACAGCCTGAAAATACTCGACCTAGAATCTATCTTTGAAGTGTCAACCACTCACTCTTTGTCGGCTTTGAAAGGCGCCTGTTCAGTGTTTTTGTTTTTCTTCACTAAGAAAAGCAGCAGCTTGAAGCTGTGTCTGTAACAACGGTTTCCAACATTTCCAAAAAAAATGGGATGAAGATAGAAGATGTTAAATGTATCAATCCAGTCTTGCAGCAAAAGACATCTCTCTGCTGCTCATTCATACGCTCAGTATTGTTCTGCTAAGACAATCACGTCTTTGTTTGTGCCGTTACCCTCCTCAAAGTTCTGCATTTCCAACAAAATCCATTAGAAAAACTTTTTAATAATAAAAATCCAATTATACCCTAATTTAAATGTAGAATTTAACACATTTTACAACAATATTACTCAGTTAAGAGGAGACAAGACACCATTTTATAGTCCAAAACTAAGTTGTTGAGTCAGAATAATATGATATAATAACAGTATAATAATAGTGTAAAAAATATGAGGTTTACTAGGTTAGAAGATTTCTATCTAAGTCATTATCGTTTACAGATACGGACAATTACCTCTATGACCTACGCTAATACATAAAGAGCACATGTCAGTTAGCAGCATCAAGTGCATTGTTAAAAACAAAAGTAAGCTGGAGGCGAGCGTTTCAACTAATCACAGATATTGTAAACTGTGTGTAAGAAAGTTAGGTTTGATATGTAGCAACAGTAACTATAGCTTTTATCTCGAGTCAGGGCTCCAATTGAAGACCAATAAAATGGCTGCTGTGAAGATGGTCTATTGCGTCTCGGCTTAACCACTAGGCTTGTTCCATTTCGAAGGCTACTTCAAATGGCCAACATATCCTTCTATTCCTGAGCAAAGAAGGATCCAATGGGTGGATCTCTCTCTGCGTTTTAATGACAAAGCTTATAGGTGTGGGTGGCTGAATTGCACCAAAGTAGCTAGTAATGTTGCAGGATAAGCTGGTGAAGCAAATAGGAAATCCTCCATCAACCAGACCACTATCATTCCCATTTGGCCTCTGCCTCCTACGTGGCTCACTAGGTCCCTGAAATGGGAAACAGTTATTTTTTATATATTACCCTCTCATTAGCATATTATTAATATCATACATCATTTACTTGAAATATTTTTTCCCATTAATGCTCTATTACAGATCTTAGATTATTCCCACATGATAGCATATTCTTTTGTTCGCTGGAATAAAAAAAACAATGCATTCCTGAAAAGTATTTTTGCAGTCCCTGTGTAGCATGAATTACACATCAAGTCAGTGATAGAGCACTATGGGACATGTTATCTCTCAGTCAAGGCTGTGAACACACTCGAGCCCCTTCAGGATTTAAAAAAGATGATATGGTCTAATTTCAAGCTGGGTGGACGGAGATCTGCAGAACCTCGAGTTCACAAATCAGTCATGCTATGAGTCATCACTGCAAGCTGGAGGTGGGATATGATGAGGAAGGGTGAATTTTCATTATAAACATCAGACACCCTAATAAAAGCTGGCAGACGTTTGAACACCGCAAGATCTAAGGATATGATGAGTAGTGCATAAATCTGTGAAAATCCTCTTTTTAGCAGCAAAGCAAAGGAAAGTTTCACAAAAGCTACACCGTTTCTAACAGTTTTTTGTCGCTCAGTTTAGTATTTTAGGTCTTGACATTGTTCTTTAGATTAGATCAGGTTCGTCTTTATTGCCATTGCACAAAGTACGAGTACAAGTAAAACGAAAGGCAGATGGACATCTAACCATACAAATACAATAGATTGCAAATGATAGATTTAGGAATTGGTGAGGAAATACTGTATTTACAGGTGAAAGTTGATGTCATATGTTGTATATAAACATGAACAAACAGATAATAAAAGAGCAGCAGATTCAATTATTTAAAGATATGGCGTATATGAGTATATACAGATGTAATATTTTTTATGAGACCAATTGTTTTGTCAAACTGATTTTATTTATGCTCATGAGATCTAATGAAAATTCTGTAAACTGGGATTTAAAAAACCACATGAGCACAATCTCCATTGTTGCTTTGGCATGAAATACTGTATGTGTAGCAATGATGTTACAAGCAATGTGATATGAAAATGTGGTGACACCTTGTCAATGATAACTGTCGAACTTGAAAAGAAATGCCGCAGCAGAGGAAACGTATGATCCTACAGACTCCTGACAAGATAAGCACAACCATAGGATTTTTTTCTTTGCTCAAGATATTCTTATGATT